GGGGGACGACGACAAATAAGAACCGTAAAAAAAAAATAAAGGACCTTCAAGTTCTATACTCGGGGTTTCTTGTTGGGTGGATCCTGAAGACTAAACTTTGGAATTTCACCAGCAGCAGCATATGGAATTCTCTTTGAAGACACCTTTTTGCCAATCGTTTCAATCTGGAAGCCAATGGTTTGCAGTTCATTGTGGAGGCTAGCCAGGACACGCCATCCATCAAAGATAAAGGCTGGCTTCAACATTTTTCTTATGAATGCATTCATAATCCAGTTCCTTAAACATGTCCCACTCAGTGTAAATAACAACAGCATGAGCACCGTCACATGCTTCATATGGATCCTTGGAAATGGTCACCAGTCGGGCCACTTGGTCATCAGCTGAAACAACTGGATGAGAAAGATCCACAACCATTTGTTCCCTGGGTACTTTTGGATCATATATATGGAGGTGTGCACCTTCATCCATCAAATATTTGCTAATATATATACTAGAGGACTCTCTCGTATCACCAGCGTCCTTTTTGAATGCAAATCCCAGAATAGCTATCTTCTTATCAGTCACTGTATTCACTAAGCTGCCTATAATCTGGGAAGCAAACCTCCTCCTCCTCCGGTAGTCATTCGTGTCTATGACCTGCTGCCAATAACGAGCTACTTCAGGCAAATTCAGAGCCTCACAGAGATACACCAAATTCAGAACATCTTTTTGAAAGCAGCTCCCACAAAACCAACACTGGCTTTCAGAAACTTATTTCCAATTCTCTGGTCCATTCCAATGGCTGTTGCTACTTCTTCTACATCAGCTCCTGCTGCTTCACAGAGGGCACTTATAGTTAATGCTGCTGATTCTCTGGGCTAGAAAAGCATTTGCTGCCAGTTTGGAAAGCTCTGAAGACCAAGTATTAGTCATGAGAATTTTTTCTCTGGGAACCCAATGTTCATATATGGCAAACAGTGCCTGCACAGCTTTCTGGCCCTCTGGGGTTTCATCCCCTCCAATCAGTACTCAGTCTGGGTTACTTAGGTCCTTGATGGCCGTCCCCTCTGCCAAGAACTCAGGGTTGGACAACACCTGTAAGTTCAAGTTGGGTTTTGTGCTTGCATCAAATATACGACGAATACTTTCTGCTGCTCGCATGGAACTGTGCTTTTCTCAGTCACAATTTTGTACCCATGTGAGTTCTGCACAATGCGTCTAGCACAAGCTTCAATGTACTTCAGATCGGCGGCACGGCCTTTCCCCATCCCATAGGTTTTTGTCAGAGTATTCACAGAAATAAATACAGGGTCAGCTTCTTTAATGGCATCATCAATATCCGTAGAAAAAAAGAGGTTTCTTTCCTCGACAGGATTCAACCACTTCTTTTAGTCCTGGCTCATAAACAGGAAGTGTGGGAGAGTTCCATGCACTGATTAGGATTCATTGACATTAACTACAGTCTCCCTAATTTCAGGGCACATATGAGCAATGACACTACACGTGGGCACTCCACCGTAGCCCGCACCGATGCAACAGATTTTCTTAATTTCAAACACGATTGTATTCCAGCCCCGAACGCTGCGGCTGCTCCTCGCCTGGCGACTCCAACAGCACCTCCCTCTGGGCCTCGGGTGCCTGGAGCCTGCATGCTCCTCTTGCAGCCTGCTCGGCGCCACACCCCAGCCCGTATTTAAAGGTTTCTGCCTGAGAAGGTGGGGGGGCTTCATACCCCTGCAGCCCGGCTCTCCCAGACTCTGCCCTCAGCTAGATCCCAGCTCCAGCTCCCGCCATGCATAGGTCGCGGCTGGGCCCGGCCCCCATTTCCTGGAAGGTCCCCTGTGTTAAGTTTTTATACTTTTCCAAACTCTACTTTCCTTAAAATGGGACCTTTACGAAATTTTTTTATACCATTAGGATTTTCAAATTTTGAAAGAAAAATTGACAATGAAATGGAGTTATAAGGATTTTGAAACACATATATACCTAGAATGCTTCTTTGTCTCTTCCCAGTCAATCCTGACCCTATCCCTGAAGCAACTAGGACAGCATTTTCTTCTGGAAGGAGATCTGGTGGTGCAATGGTTAAGTGCTCAGCTACAAAAAAGTTGGTGGCTTGAACTCACCAGATGATCTATAAGAGAAGGATTTGGCAGTAGGTTTCCCTGAGATTAAAGTCTGGGAAACCCGAGGAGGCAGGGCCACTCTGCCCTATATGGTTGCTGTGAGTCAGGATCAGGTTTGGTTTTTTTGGTTTGTCCATCATCCTGTTGTGGATACCCGACTACTCTTAGTTTGGGGCTACTGCCATGTTAACAAATAGTTTCACTTATCTTGTCTAAATACCCAGGAGCAAAATGACTCTAAGGGCTGGTGCATGATTAAAAAAAAAATTTGCCAAGGTTAAGAGGTGCAACACAACTCTGACTAACTTCTAAGATTAAATCTCAGTACAATTTCTTTCAAAAGAAACTCAGTTACCTTAACAGCATCAAAATATTGGCTAAGTTGGGCCCTCTTCTGTTCATATTCTACTTCCAGCTTTCTCAATTCTTTGTAAATATCCGGATTCTCCTTTTCATAGAGCCGTAGAATACGTTCAAAGGTTTCACGGAGCTTTTTACGCTTGTCTTTCAACACCTTCTCATTTAACTGCGGCTGTTGCACTGGATTAAACTCTGAAGGGGAAAAGAAGAGAACGATACACATAAAAGGTGAATTTATTTATGTATTAATAGACTATATGATTTAATAAAACCCCCTTCATGTTTCTTATATGCTCTTTTTAAAGTTTTATTCAAAAGAACTAGAGAAAAAAAACACTTTTCACTTCTCTATGTTAAACATTTGATATATGGAAGTTTCATGAAGAATTGAGTTTGCATACTGGCTCTGTCAAAAAGTTTTGAGAGTCTGGGGACTCAAACTCCAAGCTTTGGCTTCCTTTATCTGGAAAATGGTGACATCAACTACTCTGATGGATTAAACGTGATCATAAATAAAATATCCAACAGTGTCTGGCTCACCTCAAGTACTGAATTAGTGCATTTGCTGACTCTACCACACACGTCCTTTTGGGGTCATCTTTCCTGATACTTATACCTGTGATTTTTACTACCTTGTGAGCTTCCTCTCTAACTGGTCACTGGTGTCAACTAATGAGCGGTTAATTTCAGGTCTCCTACCCCAAAAGGGACAAGCACAAGTCCTAGGCCTGCCTCATCAACACAGCTCTCTCAGTTCTTCGCAAGTGACTAACTCAAAGATCAACTGGCTCAAGATCGAAATTTTTAAAATTTGTTTTATTAGGGGCACATACAACTCATCACAATCCATACATACATCAATTGTGTAAAGCACATTTGTACATTCATTGCCCTGATCATTCTCAGAACATCTGCTCTCCACTTAAGCCCCTGGCATCAGGTCCTCATTTTATCCCCTCCCTCCCAGCTCCCCCCTCCCTCGAGCCCTTGATAATTTATAAATTATTATTTTGTCATATCTTGCCCTATCCGATGTCACCCTTCACTCACTTTTCTGTTGTCTGTCCTCCAGGGATAAGGTCACGTGTAGATCCTTGTAATCAGTTCCCTTTCCAACCCACTCTCCCTCTATGCTCCCAGTATCACCACTCACACCACTGGTCCTGAAGGGATCATCTTCCCTGGATTCCCTGTGTTTCCAGTACCTATCTGTACCAGTGTGCATCCTCTGATCTACCCAGACTTGCAAGGCAGAATTCGGATCATGACAGTGGGGGTGGGGAGGAAGCATTTAGGAACTAGAGGAAAGTTCTATTTTTCACCGTTGCTACATCGCACCCTGACTGGCTCGTCTCCTCCCGAGACCCCTCTGCAAGGGGATCTCCAGTGGCCTACTAATGGGCTTTGGGTCACCACTCCGCACTTCCCCCATCATTCACTATGGTAATATTTTTTGTTCTGATGATGCCTTATACTCGAGATCAAAATTAAGACCAAATCCTTCTCTGCAATTTTAATTGCAGACATGGAAAAAAAGAGGGAAATAGTTCTTTACATTCTCTTCTCAAAATGTTAAGCAGGATGAAAGAAACGTAGAGCTGTTTCTCAGCCTCTACACATACTTTCCATGTCCACCTGTAATATGTAAAATGAGGCAGACTAAAGCATAGCAGACCAATGGAAACCACTGATAAGATCTGAGTTTCCAAGGCCAGTTTTCCTCTGGATTCCCAAAGGAGACAATATATACTCTTTTCTACTTAAATTAATATCTGTATTCAGAGCCCTGCTAAATACATTCCGTTAACCCCCCCTCCCTTTTTTGGGGGTGGGGTGGTGGCTGGAGAATAAAAAGTTTAATTCCCTTCTTCCCCAAATCCTATTCACCTTGCTGATTTATTCAAATCCAGATTATACATTCTTAAATATGATTTCAAGTACAGAATGAGTAAAAAGTGTTGAATGCCTGAGTTTTAATTCCAGTTTTGGGCCTTCATTTGATCTGTGTGTTTCCTCATTTTCAAAATGTGGAAAAGATCGTTGAGGATAAAACGAGATGTGAAAAAATTAGTGGATCGCAAGGTATTCCCTTACCACCGAGTTGATTCTGAATCACAGCGACCCTGTAGAACAGGCTAGAAGTGCCCCCTGTGAGTTTCCAATACTGTAACTCTAGTTTTAGAGCCGAAGCCTCATCTTCGGAGAAGCAGCTGGTGCTTTCTAACTGTTGACCTGTGGTTGGCAGCTCAGCACTACTCAGGATTATGTCCAGCGGGGTTTTTTAAAACAACTAGTCAGTTTGGGGTTATTCAATAGGTATAGCAATTACCCCCCCCCATATTTAAATTAGATGCAACAAGTGGAACCCAACAGGGAACAACTTGGGATCATACAGGCTGACTCTTTCCAGTCTAGCTCCACAGGCTTTCCCACATTGCTTCAGAAACTCTGTAGAGTCACCCCACAATTTTTCATGACTAGGTTTTCTGAACACCACTTAAACTATCACCAAGAAGTCCCACTATAGATATATTTCATTTACTATCTCTGCGTTGGGGGTGGTGCTGGCTCTGAACCTGCTTGTTACTTTTGTAAACAAAACTTATATATTTTAATATACAAGTCTGAAAGCTTCCATTAATAAAGGAACTAGTAAAATCTAAATGTTTTAATGTTACCAGAACAGATACTCTTGGGTTGGGATAAAATTTCTAGTGGAAGCAAGACAAGAGATGATTCTCAGAGTGTAAGGGACATGTCATTATCACATGACACCAGTAATGACAGATCAGCGACACTAAATATGTCTTTGAAAAGATTTCAAAACACACATACACTCTCTCTCTCTCTTTCCCTCCCTCCCTCCAGGAAATTTCATATACCAGATTTTAGTATCCTAACCATACATAGCTGAAGTGAACAAACAAGGGCTTTACTTTTATTCTTGGGAACGAGACCTCTAGTTTGTATGAGCTGCCTTTACTCCCCCCCTTGCCGCCCTGACACTAAAGGGAAGTGTCCAATGTCACCACGCTTTTCCCTTCTAATGAATTCCACTGAGTCACTTCCTTATGGGGCTGACCCATAATGACCCAACAGACTGTTATACTGGCAGTAAAATCTATCTCTGTGATAAAATTCTTACCCATTTCATCTAATTTCTCCATGTCCCGGATAATCTGTTTGGGATCCTTCATCTTCAAAACTGCAGCTCGTACCATCATGCGTTGTTTTTTGTTCTTAAGAAAAATTAAGGAAGAATGTTGAAAAGCTAGACACTTCTGAGTTATTTTAATTTGCTTTAAGAATCTACTTAAACTGAATTTTGATCTTCTTTTTGGTTTCTGATTACTTGTTTCAATCACCAGAAACAGCTATTTGTTTGTGATCTCAAAGTGTTACTTATTAGATGCTTTAAAAAAGGAAGAATCTTTTCCAATCATGTGAGACCTTTAGCAACTACTTGAAAAACTATTTAATTTTTAACAAAGGTTGTAGATAAATTCTAAAGTTACAGAAAAAAGTTTTGCTAAACAATCAAAGGACAAAAAAGAAACAGTAGGATTCAATGCTAAACAAAATATGGAAAAATATTAAATATCTGCACTCCCTCAATAAAACATTAAAGTAGGATAAAAATAAATCCTGAAAATCAATACATAAACCCTTTGATTCTTGGGGAGTATCCTGTCCCCAATCCAATAGCTACTTAAGGAGAGAATAGACTAACAGAGCTCAACATGGCATCATAATTATTTCTACTTACCAATCAGATGTTTGTGTCAAACCAACTTTTTAAATAGCACAATCATAGTGATACATTTTTTTCACAAATATTTAATTCACTAGAGAAGGTAATCAAATTCTAAAAATGTGATTTTAGCCTGTCATAAGCGTATCTACAAGTTATTTAAGTTGTTTCTCGGTATTTTGGCTTAGTGAATTTTATAAGTTGTAATTAAAAAATATATATCTCTTGGTAAACAACTGGAAATATTACTTTGAAATTCTTTAGTCCTATGTAACAAAAGCTGTCAATAATACTTTTAACTCCCTAAGATGCTTCTGAAATCTTACCTTTTTCAATTCTCTCTTCCGGGCTTCCTTTCCTTGAAAAGAGATGGAGGGAGATCGATTTTGAACATCCGTATACTCATCAATTTAACTCCCATTATAACAGTGAACAGACTATAATTTCCCAATTTTACCCCAGGGAGACACATCTGCGTTTTCAATGGTCAATACCAAGGCCCTTGGCACGACTGACATTGGGAGTTAGGGACTCGCTGTAGATCATCTGTGGGTGCATGGTTGGGTATTAGGCAGCACACCTGCTCTCCCTTCATGGGAGATGCCAATGAAAAAAAACAAAAACCGGTTGCTGTCAGGTTAATGCAAACTCATGGCATCCCCAGGTGTGGCAGATTAACCCTGCTCCACAGGGGTTCTAATGGCTGGTTGTGGGGAGCCTAGCCCATCTATAGGCTTTTCTTTCAAGGCACCTCTGGGTAGATTTACTTGACCCTTCAACCTTTTGGTTAACAGTGGATGCAGTAACTTTTTGCAGTACAAGGGACAACACACACATGCTCCAAATACCCCTCTGTGACAGACAATAAAAAAAAAAAGTGCCAAGACATTTTAAGTTTCTCAAAAACGTATGAATCTGAAGAAAAAAGAAACCACATAATACTAAATAAGAGTTTGCTAGACTAACCTGTTCAAAATTCCAAAAGAAAGCTTTAAGCCAATTTATCTACATCACAAATCTTTGAAATATGAAACATGCAATACAGGCACTATAGTTTTTACCACTCCTTTATCATTCCACATTATAGGGCACTTACGAGCCTGGTCTGTGGGATTCATAAATTTTCCGCTCTTGGTGGATGATGTAGATCTCCGCCCCATGATGACAATCTTTTGTTTTTACTTAAAATCAAGAGAAGACAAAACCTGCAGCAATAAAGAAATGAATTAGCATTTTTCCCTGTAAGTTTTCATCCTCATAGTTTATCTTTATATTTATCTTTGACAAGACATGTTCCTTTGATGTTTTAGAGATCTCGCTTTTTCTCTCATTTTGATGTTAGTGACCAAAAATAAAGTATTCAAGAACAAAAAAAATCCTAAAACATTAGTATTTTCACATCTTCTCAAACAATGAAAATATTTTCCATATTTATTTAGGACTTTATATGCTACACCTGCTCCCTGTACTCTAATATGAATATTTATTTTCAAGTTGGGATCTATAGTACTAGTATTTTAAGATAGATAATAGCTGTTCAATATATAATTAATGCTCAATTGTATATAGCAACTAATTTTCCTTTTTCAACTCTTCTCTCCTTTTTTGTACATAGTAACTTTTATATGGCATAAGTTTTTATACTGAATAAGATGCTTAATGTTTCCTTTATTGAGAATTAGTTAGAAATTCCTTGTTTTAATAAAAATTACTGAAAATGTAAAAAAATAAAAAAGAGAGATGGCCTCAGCTTTCTTGAGCACTCAAAATTAGACCTCTCACTTTTCGACTATTCATCACAGCATTGACTGTCAGGTGAAAAAGACCAACCAGAACAGACCTCACCAATGAGGCACAGACTTAACACGTGAAGCTTTTCCTTGACGACTCCTCCTCCTCTGAATTTTTGTGTGATGAAAAAGTAAAAGGGAATGGGGTGGATAAAATCTTGGGTCACCCACGGCTCTGCCCATGGTTCTTCTTAGCACTATGCTAAAAATTTCCCAAACCTCCAGGGCAATAACTTAGGCAGTTAATTCAGATGAAGTTCTTAATTCTCAAGCAAGAATTTAAAACAAAACTAAGATGGTATACATTGAAAATTAGTATTAATTTTCCCATAATCCTCAGTATTTAGTAAGCTTGATCCCCTCATTTCCCAAGGACCTGTGAGATTTCTGATTTGGACATTCATTTCTCCCCCTTATTCTCAATAAGTCACGTCCTTCTGAAGCTCATTCTCTTCACTGACAGAGGTTCCCTTCCAAAAGTAGCACTTGTATTTGGGAAAGATCATGGGGTAAATTTTTTTGGAAGACCATGCAAGCATACTTCCCCTCCCACCCTTTGAGTAACTATTCATTATAAATTATTAATGTGAAGGAGAGGCTACATAATAATACAGAAGTGCTGCAAACCATACATAGAACTTGTTCAAAATTCCAACGGCACGCTTTAAGCCAATTCCTGTCAAATGAGCGGATCGGCGTTGCTCCTTTCAGTAAGGATTCAAACGCTTTGATCATGTGAGGAGCTTCCCAAGCGTTCTAGTGGCGACTCATTTACAGGGTTACTTAGGAAAAAAGAGAAAGGGGGCGCGGGAACCAGCAAAATGAGTTTAATCACAAGTTCGCATATTTTCCATGGCTCGTATCTATTTCTCCGCTTTGCTGTCTTAATTATCCTCAGGCTCATTTTGACCCTTCTCTTCCCGCAACTGAAACATAAAACGGGTGCGCATCATAGAGATCCTTTACAAGGGAGGGCAAACTACCTTTAAAATTTTTTTATTTTTGTGTATCAAACCAGAGTCCGCTGGGCTACCAGGCCCCGAGGCCATAGAGAGCCCTCAACAGAAAAGGGTTCCAATGGGACCGAAGGGGCCATCGCAGCCGCAACTGTCGAGGCCACAGTGACGGTTGACCCCGACTCGAGGTCCTAGACGTCAACCCCAAGGCAACCGGCCAACGTGCACAGTCAGGCGCGGCGACGCTAACCGACTCGCAGGGAGGCCGGCCGCTGAGCCACTACCCGCCCCGCGCGCCAGGCCCAGCGGGCTCGCGTCTGCGGCTCAGGAAACCCGAATCCCGGGCCGAGGCGCCTGGGATCCGGGAGGCAATGGCGCCGGGCCCGGGCTGGGTGGGAGGGAGAAACGGAGAGGGGCGATCCCGCACACATACCCTCCTGCTGGGGTCGGGGTACTGTGAGAAATGGGCCGGGGGAGACGCCGAATTTGTTTTGCTTCGTCGGGCTCTTCACCACTCACTGGCGACCAGACGCTGCGCCACCGCCATCTTGAAACCTCGCGCCCCTCCGCCGTCCTGACGTCACTTCCTTTCCCGGTCGCGCCGACGGTCTTGTCCGTGGAACCATAGAGACGACCCCAAACTCCGCGACTAGACTGTCTTCTGCTTTGGCCTAAGAGCCCGCCTCCATGCCGAGTGAGCTTTCCAACGTCCAATAGAAACAGAAAGAGACAGGAAAGCCGATATCTGATTGGTCAGCGCAAGTCTTGTGGCCGCCCCCACCTCACCCCACCCCCACCCCCGAGGCCGAGCAAGCTGATTTAATTTCCGGGAGCCACGTACAGTGCCGGCCGTGGAGACAGTACGTTAAAAATAGAGATGCGTTTTACACTTTCTCTACCCAAGAGACTGTGCTAGGTTTGGAGTTCCCCTTTCTCATTATAAATGTGAGAGTGAGTCCTTGGGAGATTGACAGTATTTGGTGCCCTTTGCTGTGGTCTTGTTCCCGCCTGGGCCATCTACCAGCTCAGTAGTGGTTTATGAACCACAAACTTCCAACACGTGAACAAATCACTGCCCCTGTTTGGGTCCCAGATTTGTAATCTACAGGATCGCTTTTTTAGGGAAGAAATGAGGGAATATGTGTGTAGTCAGTTTTAAATTTATCATTGACTAGCTTGTTTTTTATTGATTCCTAAACTTGACTTTTCCCTAGCTCAAAGCCTTCTATGATGTATATGATATACTGGATATTTCAGTGATCTCTAGTCTGTCATTTTCCTCCCTTTCAATCTCTCTTAACATTCCTTGAAGCACCTCCCCCTTTTCTCCTTAAAGTTAGGTTTCAATATTAAAAACAAAACCAAAGCCAAAAGTGCACTTATAGACTATGAGGAGGGCGTCAAAAAAGTTAGTAGGCAAATGGAATGATAAAATACTGGAATTTTCCCATGAACTTGGTTATTTCTGATCATTACTTCAGTATCCACAATAGGAAACTAAGTTACATATAGGCTGGTTTGATCAATTAAAAAATTTTAACATTGATGGTGATATGACAAAGTTTTAAATGTGCATTTCATGGTTAAAGTATGGAACCTTAAATGCTTTACTTGATTTTTCACTGAATTTTGAGATTCTGAAAGCACAGTTACAACCTGTATAGGGTGAAGCTCATAAGCCAGGTTGTGATAGGTAGGTTTATTGTGCCAACCTGACCAATAGGAACATGTGGGCCAAGGCTGATTTGGCCACTGCCCCTGCCACTGCTGAGTGCCCCATCTGCAACCAGCAGAAACCAATATTGAGTCCAAGATACAGGGCCATTCCTCAGGCAGATCAACCGGCAACCTGGTGGCAGGTTGATTACATAGGATCACTTCCGTCAAGGAGGGGGGCAGCGTTTTGTTCTTACTGGAATAGACACCTACTCAGGATATGGATTTCCCTTCCCTGCATGCAATGTTTCTGCCAAAACTACCATTCGTGGACTTACGGAATGTCTCATCCACCAGTATGGCATCCGATATAGCATTGCTTCAGATCAAGGAACTCACTTTACAGCAAATGAAGTATGGCAATGGGCCCATGCCCATGGAATCCACTGGTCCTATATTCTTCATCCTGAAGCAGCTGGCTTGATAGAATGATGGAATGGCCTTCTAAAGACAATTACAGTGCCAGCTAGGTGGCAACAACTTGCGGGGCTGGCCCAATGTTTTCCACCAGGAAGCTGTATACTCTCTAAACCAGCGGCCAATATATGGTGCTGTGTCTCCAAAAGCCAGAATTCATGGGTCCAGGAATCAAGGGGTCGAAGCTGGAGTGGCACCACTATTACTCCTAGTGATCCACTTACAGCATATTTGTTTCCTGTCCCAGAACCCAATGTGTTCCAGGCCTGGAGGTCCTGGTCCCGAAGGAAGAAACTCTCCCACCTGGAAACACAGCATGGATTCCACTGAACTGGCAGCTGAGAATTCCCCCTGGCCACTCTGGGCTTCTCATGCTTTTGGATCAACAGGTCAGGAAGGGTGTCACTGTACTGAGTCCTGTGATTGATCCTGATTGCCAAGGAGAAATTGGACCGGTGCTACATAATGGAAGTAAAGAGGAATATGTCTGGAATCCAGGAGATCCTGTAGGCCTTCTCTTAGTACTACCATACCCAGTGATTAGAGTAAATGGTAAACTAAAACAACCCAATCCTGACAGGATGTCTAATGACCCAGACCCCTCGGGACTGAAGGTCTGAGTCACCCCACCAGGCAAAACCATGGCCAGCTGAAGTGCTGGCTGAGGGCTAAGGTAATAAAGAATGGATAGTAGACGAAGATAGTTCTACCTATCAGTTATGACCATGTGATCAATTGCAAAAGCGAGGTTTGTGATTGTCAATTTACCTTCTTTATATGTCCTTATTATCTTTCCTTTGTTCATGTATGATGTACCAGATACAATTAGATTCAGTATGTTTTCATTGATATGTATGATAGATGTATGATGTTGATGCCAAATTGGCCAGGGGTGAACTTTGATAGGTTTATTGTGTCAACCTGGCCTATAGGAACATGTGGGATTAATAAGGTCACAGTTTGATTGCCCGCAGCCAATATGTGGTGCTGTGTCTCCAATAGCCAATATTCATGAGGTTCCTTGAAGACCTTCTTTGCCACTTGCTGGTGTGCACATCACATGAGCTTGAGGTTGCCAGATTCCATTGCTTGAGTTCGATATCCCATCCAGGCCTGGTTTGCTAAGCTCCTGAGCTGCTGACAATTGGTGACCTGCCCTGCAGTTTGCTGCCTGTGGGTGGACTACCTGCATTACCCAAAGGAAGACTCAGCTGTGTGCTTCCTTGACTTTGGACCCAGCATCCCTCATGAGTTGAAGGAATTCCAGTATATTAACTGTTCCATGGAAGTGAGTTGAACTGAGCCCTCTGTACTGCTGTGTGGACTAATTAGCTGTTATATTCCTTCATGCTATCTAAATCTATCCATATATATGTGTGTATATATATGTATGCATGTATGTATGTGTGTGTGTGTGTATATATATACATATATATATATATGAAATAATAAGTGTCCTGGTTTTGTTTCTCTAGGAGCAGTGGTTCTCAACCTTCCTAATGGTGTGACCCTTTAATACAGTTTCTCATGTTGTGGTGACCCCCAACTATAACATTATTTTCATTGCTACTTCAGAACTGTAATTTTGCTACTGTTATGAATCCGGCGACCTCTTTGAAAGGGTCGTTTGATCCCCAAAGGGGTTGCAACCCACAGGTTGAGAACCGTGGCTCTAGAGAGCCCTGCCTAACACACAGGTGGTAGCAATAAAGAAAATATTTAGGTAGCCTAAATTGCATGTTTGCAATAAATGAAATCAATCAGTGAAGAGGAGAGTAGATTTGGCCAGTTAAAGTCACTTAGCTTTTTTAACTTTTGCAATATGCTGAGTATTTTTTTTAATTTCAAGACATTTCTTAAACATCAATGCAAGAATCAATTGTAATATACACATTTTCCCATCCACATTGTAAAATAATTTTGTGAGTAGAACCTGAGACTCAACTGTTGTTGAGTTAGAGTTACTAGTTGCTGAAGGGTTTAGAAAATAAGACACTTAGAGCTGCTGTCAGATTAACCAAACCATTAGGCCTCCACCCCACTCCTGTCAATCCCAACTCACACAGATCCTACAGGACAGAGTAGGACTGCTCCCTTGGGTTTCCAACCCTATCAGTCTTTATGGAAGCGCACTGTCTCAGCTTTCTCCCTTGGAACAGCTGGTGGGTTAGACCTGTCAACCTTCTGGTTAGAACTCAGTGCTTAACCACTGTCGCCAGGGACCCTGAGGCCTCCCCAGAAAAGAACCAAACAATCCAAACCCACTGCGGTGGACTGTGTCTGGTTCATAGCTACACCCTACATATTTTCTCTGGCTGTGAATATTTTGGGGAGCAGATAGCCTCATCTTTTTCCCACTGGGGTTCCAACAAAACTGAAAAAAGTCAAACCACTGCCATTGAGTAATCCCAATGCCCAGTGACCCTGCAGGACAGGGTAAAACCCTCCCTTCGTTTCCAAGGCTGTGCCTTTACAGGAATGGCTGGTGGTCTTGAACTATTTAGAGCCTCCATGTTTTCTTGAAATTAGGTAATGGACCCCAAAACTTCATGTAGCTGCCTCCTTTCAGCTAATATTAAAATGAAAATTTCTTTTTCTGATAAATGACAAATTGTTAAAGAGCAGAGACTTTCTGTATGGTAAGTGCATTTTATACAGATATAGCTGGGTTTGTTTTGTTTTAAAATATTTCAGAGTGTTCGAACATTCACTTGAAGGATACTTCATTATTGTCCTATGAGTTGGTCAGGGTTGGCTGCAGTTAGAGAAACAACTTTATACATTTTTAGCTTTAACTCTTTTTTAGAAGTATATTTTTAGCTTTATGCTTAACACCCATTCAGTTTAGTGTGTAGCTAGTTGAAGGTTATAGTACTATTGCCTCTTTTCATCACTAGAGCATATTGGCACTAACCAACATTTAATACCTTACAATTTGCAGAAAATTGGATTCAATCTGATGGCAAAAAATATGGCCATATTTATATTTCGTCAGAAGGTCCAGGGCTTGTGTTTAAGGTGGAATTTACTAAGAATTTCCCCTTAGAGCTAAATGTCTGACAATAGTGGTAGAAATGTAGGTCTCTGCATTCCATGTAAATGTTTAGTATTTTTACTAGCAGTTATGAAGGATAAGCCTTCATTTGCTGATCTATGTAACAGCAAGTATCCAATGATGGTTTGGTAGTGCAGGATGAGCAGACTGACTCGTACACAGTGTCACTGTACAGGGTCTAGAGCAGTGGTTCTCAACTTCCTCAGGCTGCGACCCTTTCATACAGTTCCTCATGTTGTGGTGACCCCCAGCCATAACATTATTTTTGTTGCTACTTCATAACTCTAATTTTGCTACTGTTATGAATTGTGACATAAATATCTGATATGCAGGATGTTTTTCATTGTTATAAATTGAACATAAAGCATCATGATGAGTCACAAAAATAAGATGTGATTATATAGTGAGATATTTATTTCTAATTACAACTAAATGAAATTTTGTCTTGTAGCATGGCTTGTAGCAGTCTTCGCTCCAGGTACTCGTATGTGGGTGTATCTGCATGTGGGTGGAATCCCCTGGAGACGGATAGAGGAGTGGTGTCTCAGTTCCCAAACCATCAGAAATAATGGGTTTTCCAATGGTCTTAGGTGACCCCTGTGAAGGGTTGTTCGACCCCCAAAGAGGTCGCGACCCACAGGTTGAGAACCGCTGGCCTAGCATCTAGTAGAAACTGGTGCAGCCATTGGTTGTTGATGAAAAACACAACCCAAAGCAAAGAATTCCTAAAACACACTCCAGAGCTATTCAATTTTCATCTGATCCCCTCTCCTGACCATCCACCAACCCCCTGCAGGAGGCTTATGAAAAACAAGCCTCTGGAAGGAAGCAAAGTGTTGGGAGCCAAGCAGGAAACGATTGCAGTGACAGAAAAATGTGTGTTCATTTCATCTGGTGTTTCACTGAGTTGGTGACCTCAGTAATGGCATGATGATATTTCTCTGAGGCAGCCTTGAATTCTACCAGATGCTTCTCATAATTTCGGATGGCTGCTTCAAGTTGCGTTTTCTCCACGGCCCCCAAGATAGCACGGAACATCATATCTAGGCCAAGGCCAAGAACAGCAACTCCAATGCTTCCAAGGAGAGAGCCACCAATTTGAGCTAAAACAGCGACCAACTTGTTAATTATGCCTGTTGTGACATTTGAGCCTACCAGTTTAACGGCCACGGCACTGGCTGCAGAAGTGGCCTCTCCCAGGACGACAGAGATAACCTTTTGTACGATGGCAATTTTCTCTGTCTCCCTTTCCTTAAGGTCCTGAAGTTTCCTATAAAGGGTTGGCTCTAGTTTTTTTTTCAGTGCATCATCAACCTTTTGCAGCTCTTTTTGAATTTTCATTATGGCCTGGATGATGCTATCACAGTTTTCTTTGATGGTCCCATCTCTTTTCATCTCAATCAAGGGCAGCCTGCACCCCAAGTGCATATTGAGAATGTCACTCAGCTTATTGGTGGCACGGAAGCTGTCAGATAAGCAATCAAGGAGCTGTTGGTGAAGCCGGTTCACTTCTTGTCTCCTCCGTGGGTTGTCTGGGTACAGGAAGTCACTCTGAGCCATACTTCAGATGAGATCTCTGGAAAATAATAGTAAATCCTTATTGACAATCTCGAAAAATATCTACTAACTGGACATTTCACCAGGGACTCTTTTACTCCATGCATAACCATCTAGTGTGATAAGTTCTTTGAGAAAGTCCTCATAAACTGCAACATATTCTAAAACAATTATGGGTGTCTTTTATGAAACTTGGAGTCAGTGTATGAGAAACGTGGGTTGCCAATATATAACGCATTAATGCTTAAATTGAAGCATTAGATTTTGTGGTGGGAAAATTTTCTTTTTTGGGGAAAATTTTCAGTGTTTGTGCTTACACAGTATCTGGTGATTAATAAATAAACATGCTTATTTTTCAGGAATTTTCAATAATCCTTATTTCAAAGGGACTTTAATTTGAAATGGTTTGCCTTTCCCACCCCAATTCACCACAGCAAATAAATATGCCAGATTTCTCCTTTTTATATTTGGAGTTAATTAGTAGGGTAAAAATAATTTTCATATATTTGCATTTCCAGGGGTATTGATATAACATTTTGCATTTATCTACTTTGTTATCTTAATTAACAATATTCAAGCATTTCCTTAGAGACCAATTATTTGTTTTCCAAGTATGAAGGACATCAAAGACCACATACAATATTAGAACCTTTATATTTAAAAAGGCATTGCTACTTCCATAAAAGTAAGATATTTGAAGTACTGTAGGTTAATATTTAACTTGAGGGGAAGGCAAACGTGATACAGGATACCACAGAGTTATGACAATTTCTGTGATTCTTCAGTTGCAAAGCTTATGAATTAAATAGCTGATAATGATCTCAATCGTACTTGGCCCTTATTCAGATAAGCTAGAGTTGACAGTGAGTTACGCATTGGACTGCTAGCCACAAGGTCAGCAGTTTGAAACCACCAGCCCCTCTGTGGGAGAAAAGTGAGGCTTTCTGCTCTTGTAAGGCTTATTAACAACCTGTGATACGCAGATGACAAAACTTTGCTTGCTGATGGTGAGGAGGACTTGAAGCATTTTGTGGTAGTTACATAATCTGTTGTCAATTTGAGGTTTAGGAGTGAATGGGGTGGAATTTAGCATGTCAATCAGGCCACAGTTTGATAACCTCATTTGGAGGCACCACGGAGCTCCTTGGAGGTGGGACACAGACACACTCTGCGAAACATTTCTTTTGAGAATATACATGTCGAGAAGATCCTTCTGACAAAACACATGGAGCTACACTAGAGCCCTGGAGCTGAAGGAGCCACGTGGAGACCCCTGCCAGCGCTGAGATGCTTCCACCGCCACTGGATCCATATGACTTTCCACCCACTGGCCTGCGATCTTGCCTTCAGCATCATTGAATGTGTTGTGTGAGTCTGAAGAGGAATTTATAGATTGGTATCAGACATATGGGCTAATATCAGACTTATGGACTTGATCTGGACTGGGCTGGGGTGTTTCCTCAATATTCAATTGCTCCTGTATATAAAGCTCTTTCTTATAAACATATGAGTGTCTGTGAATTTGTTTTTCTAGTCTCCCCAGACTAACACACACTTGCAGATGGGGATCAAGGATTGTAACCTTACGTATGGATTATAACTCATTGTAAAGAAAGCAAATCCTCACCAGTGGGCCAATAGGTAACATCATGATAAATAGAGAAAAGATCGAAGTTGTCAAGAATTTTGTCTTGCATGGATCCACAATCAATGCTCATGGAAACAGGAGATCAAACAATGCATTCTGTTGGGTAATCAGCTGCATAAGACCTCTTGAAAGTGTTGGAAAGCAAGGATGTTATTTTGAGGACTAAGGTGCTGACCCAACCCATGATATTTTCAGTCACTTTGTGTGCATGTGAAAGTCGGACATTGGTGGACTAAGGAAGACTGAAGAAGAATGGATGCATTTGAACTGTGGTGTTGGTGAAGAATATTGAAAGTACCATGGACTGCCCAAACAAACAAACAAACAAACAAACAGAACTGTCTCGGAAGAAGTATGGCCAGAATGCTCTGTAGGGGCTAGGATGGCCAGACTTGATTTCATGTAGTTTGGACATGTTACCAAGAGAGACGAGTCCCTGGAGAAGGACATCATGCTTAGTAAAGTAGGCACTGAAAAACAGGAAGGGCCTCAACAAGGCAGACTGATACAGTGGCTGCAACAATGGGTTCAGCATGAAAAACAATTGTGAGGATGGCGCAGGTCAGTGAAGCATTCTGTTCTGTTATTCATAAAGTCACCATGAGTCAGAACCAACTCCAGGGCATCTAACAACAACAACAACAACAACAAATATTTGCAGCCAAAGAAAGCCATAGAGGCAGTTTTACTCTTGACCCAGACTTAGAATTGTCTTGGTAGCAGTGAGTTTATATTTTTGAGAGAGTTAACCTTAAACCTTGCTAGTTGGGTGGCTTATTCCTTGGGCTGCTAACCTCAAGGTCAGCAGTTCAAACCCACTAGTCAGTTCAGACCCACTGGGTGAAAGATGAGGCTTTCTGTTCCGTAAAGCTTTATAGCCTTGGAAACCGGGGGGCATTTCTACTCTGTCTTAAAGAGTCGCTTTGAGACGGAACAGACTCTATGACAGTGAGTTAGTTTGTTTTCAGAGGTAGCCTCAGAAAGAAAAGACCGTGCCATGTTACAGACGTGTTAAAGAACAAGAAGCAAGAGAACACCATAGAATGAACCAAAGGACCCCGATGGGTGATGGGATGTAATAGGAACCTTCTTGTGTGTGTTGTTCTGGATCATAGTATCATGAAGAATCTAAGTTTATGCTCATAACGATATACTTCCTAGTAGATACATCACAAATAGACTTACTATATGCCCGGTGTTTTATTCTTTTTAAACTTTTGGGAGAAAAGAAAGGAAAAAGGCAGTGACAGTGTTGTAACTGAACGCTACCCCTTGAACTCTTAGAGTAACCAGCATGCTCTACTCTGATTCCCTTGGGCCCTATCTGTGTGAGGGCCACACTTCTTGGGAACCTCAAGCATGGGATAAAGGACTGAAAGCAATTTTCTGTTAAGAAAAGAAACATGTATAACTATCTTCCAAGTCATGAAGTACAGTTTGGAAATGAAAAGGGAAAAGCAATTCTAAAATGAGTTAGAAACATAATCATGTTGTTAGATTTACATAAATAAACTGGAAATTTCTTGTAGAATAAAATTGAACATGGTTAGAAATTAATTTTTATCCATGACCTAGTACACACAAGTGCACATTTGTGATAGAAAGAAATATTCACATAATTTACTTAGAAAATATCTCTATTTCTAATTTATTGAATTGCACTAAAAAAGAAAATGCTAGGAGCCTCTTTAAATATTCCCAGAATTCAAAGGAATTGCAAACCGCAATTTGGAAACCACACATTAATGGTATGATTTCTTTGTTTCTAATAAGAATTTTCATTTAAACCTTTTTTTTTTTTTTAATTTTAGTTTCTGGCTTCCAGATGAAAACTCCAGTGCCTGAATTTGAATTCAGAAGTGCACATCTATCTCCGTTCTCAGTTACTTAGGTGAGAAGACTTGTTCTTACCCCTAAAATGTGGAAACTTTGATAGCCGTTGTTTACTGGTATAAGAGTAGATGGATTCCTGAAACAAAATAGCCCTGATCAGGCCCTTCTATATATTCTATTTAATCTATGATAAATTTAGGCAATGAAGTCAATACCATTTTGGTATTTTAAATTCGTGTAACAGATGCATAAAAAGTAAATAGATAAAAACTTACTTTATAAGCATAAAACTAAGGAAAACAGCCACACACACACAAAAAAGCTAGCAAAACTGACCATGTGAAAACAATGGAAAGGCAACTGGTTAAAACGCAAGAAAAAAATTGAAGAAGATTGACAGTACTAATTAAGAAACCCCAACAATAATAATCTAAAACTAAATGCATATAAACAATCCTGAACAGAAGGTCATGGGGTGGGGGGAGCCAAACCCATGCCATGGATCCCTTGATTCTGACTCAGTCATTACAGTGCAGCGTAGAACTGCCCATAGGGTTTGAGTCTGTAATCTTCATGGGAGCAGACTGCCCCATGCTTCTCCCTCTGAGCTCAGCTGGCAAGTTTGAACTGCTGACCTTTCATTAGCAACCGAGTCCTTAACCACTGTGCTGCTTAGGCTAATTCAAAAGAAGAAGTAGTCAATACATTGGTGGAAAAAATGCAATCTTACCAGAAATCTAAGACATGGTACTTTTTCTTTTTAAAAAAAATTTTAAATACTTCTTTTGTGGGCTCTTAACATCTCATCACAATCCATGCATTCATCCAGTGTGCCAAGCACATTTGCACATATGCCGCCATCATCATTTTCAAAGCATTCTCTTCCCACTTGAGCCCCTGATATCAGCTCTCACTTTCTTCCCCCTCTCTCCCCTGCCCTCCCTCCCTCACGAACCTTTGATAAGTTATAGATTATTATTTTCATATCTTTTATTGTCCTCTGTCGCCCCTCACCCACTTTCCTATTATTTGTCCTCCTGAGAGGGGGTTCTAGATTGATCCTTGAGATCGATTCCCTCTTTCTCCCCTGTAGTATTAAATAAAAAATTGGCGCGGGGGAGTGGGGGGACCAGCCCCCACCGCTAATACTCCTATTACTACTACTGGATTCAGTAATACTACTTCAGGGTTCAGTAAGTACAATTGTACGGTTGAGATATATAAGCATTATATTAAAATCATCGAGAGCATGAGAGATATTACAATAATACAGTCAGGCATGTTACATGGTACCATTGCTCACCTCAGCCCAGCTTGGTGGTCCACGTGGAGAGAGGGGGAAGGGAAGGAGGGAAGGGAACAAGGGAGAAGGGAGTGACCAGGGAGTGAGCAGCAAGGAGCTCAGAGTCAGAAAGCGGTCTAGCTTGCTGGCTCATACCTATATACCTTTTGGGGGCAAGCCAGCCCACTAATTACAGGTAGAGACATACGTCATAGGAATGGGCTGCACTATAGGTTATATAGCAATGAGAGGGTGGTCTAGGGGGTGGTCTCTGGGTCTCCATAGGAACATTATCAGTAGGGTGCAAACTCTGCCTACAGGAGCCTGTCCATGTCTCCAGAGGCAGGGAGCAGGCCCACCCCTGTAGTGGGATGAGACAGCAATCTGGCAGCAAGTATCTGACTTCCCCCCACACTCCCCCATTCTCTCCTAATCCTCCTGGTATCTCTACTCTCATTGTTGGCCCTGAGGGGTTTGTTTATCCTGGATTCCCTGTCTTGCAGGCTCGACATGATACTTTTTCAAACACAAAAGCCTTTTTCAAACAATAACCTCATTAAATGGTCAAACTACCACGCATGTGATCTCCCAAGTATGCAGACATCAATTGATCATTTTGTGTCACTAACAAGTTTGAGTGTAAGACACATTCTTTTTTATTTCTAATGAAAAAGAACTTTGCTTTTCAGAGCTAAGCTTGCCTTCCTAGCTCCTCCCTTCCCCTGAAGACTGTGTGTGGGGAGCTTTCCAGGAGCCCTGCTCCTGTATCAACTTTGGTCCGTCTGAGCTCCAGTATTTGATACAACTCCACATTATCTTCAGCCTAACAGTGTTACAGAGCAGAACTGTGCGTCAGAGCATGTTCTTCACTGTAACCCTTTTTTTTTCAAGCAACTTTTAGCATAAGAATGCCAATTTATTCCTTTCTTGGACACATGGCCACAAAATATACCTGCAAGATAGAAAGGTTACACACACACACACACACACACACACACACAAATATACATATATACATCCCCTAATCTCAACATGGGGAGATAACTCCTTCCTTAATAGTTTAGAAAGTACTTCTATTGCTAGAGGCATACATGCAGTTTAAATGTAATAAAATACATTTTAGAACAATATAAGCCTAACAATAAAGAAAACAAAAAATTACACCATTCGTCAAATGAACAACTGCTCACATTTTCAGCCACTAGACAGGGAAATGGGGAGAAAGACCAAACTCTCTATTCCCATAAAGAGCTGAAGTCTTGGAAATGATGCCCGACAGGTTGCTGTGAGTTGGCATGTGAGTGTGGTTTTGCGTTTTCTGTTCGTTGAAAGTTCAGTTTGGGTAGTTACCATCTACGTTTGTACAACAGAGTTTTTGCCGTTATTTGACTATCGGAGTGGCTAGTGAAGTCAGATTTTGAGTCCTGGGCAACATGTGGGGAGCCTGGTGGCAATTTAAGTTAGTGGTTTAAACCCACCAATCACTCTTCTAGTTTAAGATGAAGCTGTCGGCTCTGATACATATTTTCAGAAATCATAAAGAGGGTCGCCACGAGTCAGAATAGGAAGCCCTGGTGGCAGAGCGGGGTAGCATTGAGCTGCTAATAGAAGATCAGTGGTTCAAATCAATAAGCAAGCAGCTTCGCTGGAGAACAGGGCAGTTCTATGGAGTTGCTGTGAGTCCGAATCAGCTCTATGGCAGCGAGTTTGACGCAGAACGGAGAAGTACTAGCCAGCAGGTGGCGCTCCAGGTTGCTGGTCCACCCATATTATTTTCACCTGAGCCTATGCAGAAGTAGCTTTCTCTGTCTCTCTGTCCCCCAGCCCCCAGCCCCCGCCCCTGTTCTACATATTTCAGGCATTGAGTAGGTAAATTTTTATTTTAGGAGAGAGTTGTGTTACTAAAATAAATTTTGCAAATCACACGTCGTCTGACTTAAAAACGATATCTAGAACTTCTGAAAGCAGTGATGCGTGTTTTAGGAAAGCACAATCAAAAGCCCAGCAATCCCATTTGTCCGGAGAAGGAAGTTGTCAAGATTAAGCAGACTTTAAGACATGTAAGAAAGACATTGATTATGAGAACTTATTATTATTATTCATTGGGATTTAATACATATTTCATAGTTCAATCACCTCAAATAGAATTGTACAATTGTGGGGGAAAGCTGAGGAGCTGATACCAAGGGCTCAAGTAGACAGCAGATGTTTTGAGAATGATGATGGCAACAAATGTACAAATGTGCTTGACACAATGGATGGATGTAGCTATTGTGATAAGAGTTGTACGAGCCCCCAATAAAATGATATAAAAAACAACAAAAAAGAATTGTACAATTGCTACCACAATGTTTCCAAACACCCCGCTCCCCCTCCCCCCTCACTCTACTTGCTGGCCCTATAGGCTCATCTGTCCTGGGTTTCATATACCACAACTTCAAGAGGGCGACCTTTAATGGCATGATACCTCTGAGATACACTCTAATATGAACAAACAAAAACAGAAGAAAACAACACAAACCAAAAATACTTAAAATGTTAGAAACCAGATCAGTTCCAACCTACAACATAGGGGGATCCACTGACAAGTTTTTCAGGTCAGATTTACGCCTTTAATCTTCTATACTCCTCTCTCCCAAGCACTCTGTTTAGTGACCACCTTCCTCCAATCCCTCAATTTCCTATGTAGTTCCACCAATGAATCTTGGGCTCCCACTGTCATCCATAGCCTTCTGCACACCAGATTCTCACAATTTAAGGAACTGGTAGTGATCTCTTCTTTGACTTTGGATTATATGGATTCCAGTCTTTCAGTGACTGATGATGGTGTGCTTCTTCCATGTGGACTTAATTGCCATCTCACTTAGATGACTGCCTGTTTGGAAACAAGCCTTTAAGACCCCAGATAATTTACCACCAGCTAAATTCTTCGGCACATTTGCTATAGCACCCATATCTTCTGTGTTCCCTTCCTGAGGGCGAGTATTGAGCAAGGCCATGATGTAAGAACTCATTGTTCTTGAGTTGGAACTAGAATTTAGTGTGAGTCTGAAACCCATACCTGGATCTATGCTTTTGTTTTTGTTTCTTGCCTTTCTTTTCATTTGCTGTGATTTGGGAGTGACTATGATAGCTTAAAGTCAAGGGTTACTAGGCTGGCACTGTTGGGTAGATAAGGGTTGGCCTGCTTATCTCAAGGTAGGTGGTTCCAACCCACTAGCCACTTCTCAGGAGGAAAAATAAGCCTGTTTTTGTGAAGATTTACAGCCTAGTAAACCCTAAAGGACAATGATAAGTCAGAATCAACTTGATGGCAGTGAGTTTGATTTCTCTGGTTTAGACTGTTAAAAATTATTTGATTATAACATATTCAAATGAAAGAATTTAGGATACTTTTGTGAATGAAAGTATTCATTTCAGATATTTAGGTAAAATAACTTTTTCTTACCTAGAAAAATTGGAAAGTATCTATGACAACTATCATATGCCATCAGGCGAGTTGCCTTAATGGTAGTGGGCTTGGTTGGGCTTACCATATCCCATTATTCGACAACACGGCTTATAGAAGAGTTGTGTGCTTCTACGAACCTCAAGATAAATATGTGGGGAGGTGAGCACTTGACTGCTAAGGATTATGGAAATTAAAAAAAATCGTTTTATTGGGGCTCATACAACTCTTATCACAATCCATACATACATCAATTGTGTAAAGCACACATACATTTGTTGCCCTCATCATTCTCAAATTTTGCTTTCTGCTTGGTTCCTGGAATCAGCTCCTCATTTTCCTTTTTCCCCTCCCCCTATTATGGGAATTTAAAGGGAAAAGTTAATATTGAGAGCATCAGGGAAAGCTTCATTGAGAATTTTACTACTCTGTGATTTGTACTCTATAGATAAATCATAGAATTATAATATGAGAAATTAAAAGTAAAACTTTGGGTAAAACCAAGAAGTTAAGATAAAGATAGTATAAATAATATATAAATTTTAATTGAGGTAAAAACCACCTCTAAAGCCACCATCTTAACAATTGTTTTTGCTTCTGATTATTTTATCACAAAACTGTTAGCTTATATATATGTGTTGTTATAAAATTGTAGTAAAACTAAAAAAAAAAAATTGTAGTAAAACTATAAATAAAATTCCATCTTATGTTACTTTACTTAAGTACTTCTTCATATTTCTAGTTTTATAGTAATTATTTTATAGGTTATATAAAATATTCATAATCTATAGTTACCATAATTTAATCATACCTCAATTTTTTCATTATTGTGAATAGGGTTGCAATGAGAATTTTGCTGCAAATAACTTCTTTCTTTCATCATCTGGATTATTTTCCAGGATAGTTTCTGGGAATTTATTTTTCGATTGCCTTTGATATGTATTGGTAGTTACAATAGGAAGCCGTTTGCGCTGCCACCTAAGATAAGTTCTTACAGCAGGATCACAGGGTCTATCGGGCTGGGTCTCTTTCGGGGTTCTCTCTTTGACCTCACTGATCTATTTTTCTGTTCTTTCATCAAATCACACGATCATGATTCTTGTAGCATTATAGCCCTGGTGATGTAGTGGTTATGCGGTTGGTCATTGAACCTCAAGGTCTGCAGTTCATAGCCACCAGGTGCCCTGAGAGAAAAAGATGGGCTTTCTATTCCTGTAAACAGCTATAATCTCAGAAATCCACGGGGGTGGTTCTACCCTGTCCTAGAGGGTCACCATGGATCAGAATCCACTCAAAGGGAGTGAATAGCCCCCCCTTTTTTTTTAGTTATAGTCAGTCTTGAAGTTGGTAGTATCAGTCCTGTCATTTTGCTCTTCTTTAGGACTGTATCTATTTACTCTGCAGGGCTGTTTAGGCATTGTGGGCTTGGGCGTGTTAGCAACATACACTGAAAATGTTCATGATGAGGTGAGATGGTGCCTGAAGACTTGTTTTCAGTGATCTGGGAGGGAGATTTGGGAGGGTTGTCGAGACCTGTGTTGATGACTTCTGATGCTGGCTTATAGGTACATGGAGTGTATATTATCATCTCTAGCTCTTGTGCATGTCTGAACTTTTTCTTAATAAAATCTCAAAAAGATAGGGAAATTTGGGTGGTTCTGTTTACCCCTTGCCATTAGTGCTTTCTGAGATTTTTCATTTCCCTGCTATCATTTTTCCTCAGTCCATATTGGGTCCTGCTACTAAGCAAGGCTCATGATACATGAGGCTGTGGTAACGCCAGAAGTCTTTCTAGATAAAATATTGGCAACTTCCAAGTCTTCTTTAATTCAAATCAAAACAATGGTATTTAGTTAAGAAAAAAAGATAATTTCTGACCCAAAGCAGACTATCAAGGTCATTCGTTAACACCTATCAACTGCTCTCTTGGAAAGCCTTTACTATATACTTAGAAACACTTAAAGAAAAGGGTGGATGAGGTTCCTTCCTTTCCTCCAAGAAGGTAACAGTCTGCTATTGGGAGACAAAAAGCAAAGGCCCAAAGATAATGAAATGGAATCTCCTTTTTGAAGGGCGATATAAGCACTGTGTCTGAACTAGGGTTAGATCCCATCGTCATTCTTTCAACAAGTGTGTACTGAGTATGCTAATATTAAGTCCGTGAGAGGAAGTATTATCATCCAGCCACATGCAACACACACATATCACTTCATCCTTAATTCTTTCTAAAATGAATGTCTTACCTGCTTATCTTCCCCTCTGACTTAATCCTCTCCAAAAGATGTTCATTTTCTTCCTTGCCAAGGAAAAGAAATAGTCACAATCAACAGTCCACAGAGTCTTCCTGTCACAAAGCTGTTTGTTATTCTATTAATGTCTTGTGAGTAGGATTAAAGCTGACTCTGCTATCTTAAATAGTTCTTGGTACTGAGAAACACAGTCTTTCACAGCACGGTGGATAGAAGTAGCTCTCTTACTTACCCTGCTGCGTTTCTGGTTCTGTGGTCTCAGCGCTTGTTTGGGAGTCCTGGTGCAGCGCTTTTTCATCTAGTTTCATCTGGGTGTTTCTGATGGAATGTGATGACCTACATGCTTTGCTAGGCTGCTGGGTCCCTCTGCCTCTTTTGTTTATAGGCAATCTATGCATTTCTACTCATTAGAATCCTTCTTTCCTGTGTATTAATATAAGCTTAATAAAGTGGCAAAACTCATTTTCTGCTCTTTAATGGACTTTTTAGTGAAGAAAAAGTGCTACACAACTAAGCCAATTCATTTCAGTGAAAGAGGGTGCTTTGCAGCTCTCAGGCTTTAGGACTGCATTTTGTCCACTATCTAGTAAGGTTTCTTTGGCTTCTCTTGCACTTGCCCCCATCACTGATGCTGTATTCAGGTTAAGAGATAAACCCATATATTTCCAGACAAATGTATATGTATTCTTTAAAAAAACAGTTCACCCTTTTTGCCTGACCAGCTCCCTTTTTAGCTTTGTCAATTGTCACGACAATATCAGAACCTTACAGACTCACTTGACCCCATTCCCTTAAAAGCCTAGGCCAGAGGCGTCCCTTCTTTTTCCTTTGGGTTCTCTCCTGTTCCCTATTTATTATCCTGCAGGAGCCCTTCACCCTTCCACTTAGGACCACGAGAATCACCCAGTCCCAGTGTAATGTTATAGAAGGACCACAGGCTCTAGAACCAGACAGTCCTGATTGTGTACCCAGAGAGTCATGTATTAGCCAGTTAGCCTTTGGCAAGTCATTTCCTCTCTCAATTTTTCCATTTCTGTAAAGTATATAATAACTTATGAACGGTTATCAGGATTAAATGACATAATACAAGTGAATTTCTTGACATGGTACCCTATACTTGTATACGGCAAACACGTGTTAAGTGGTTGCTTTTGTTGTTCTTAGGACCATTGAGTCAGTTCTGACTCCCAGTGGCCCTATGCGTAACAGCCGAAACACTGCCTGGACCGGTGCTGTTCTCGTAATTGCTGTTAGATTTGAGCCCATTGGTGCAGCCACTGCGTCAGTCCATCTTGCCGAGGGCCTCCCTCTTTTCCACTGCCCCTGCACTTTACCGAGCAGGATGTCCTTCTCCAGGGACTGGTCTCTCCTGACAACATGCTCAAAGTACACGAGGCAAAGTTGCACCGTCCATGACTCTAAGGATCATTTTGACAGTCCTTCCTCAGAGACAGTTTTGTCTGTTCTTTGGACAGTCCATGGTACTTTCATAATTCTTCACTAGCATCAGCATTCAAATACATTGATTCTCCTTCTGTCTTCCTTACACAATGTCCAACTTACTCATGCATATGACGCAGTTCATCGCTTGGTGAGCCTTAGTCCGCAAAGTAATATCCTTTTCAACACTTTAAAGAGATATATGGATAAAAAAGAGAGCGAGAGATACTGAATGGTAGCTTTCTTTAGTTGGGACAGATAAAATCTCTAAGAGAAAGTATAGAATGAATTTAATAAGGCTCATGGGGGCAGCCTGGGAGAGCCTAGGACAGTAGCGAGCCATGTGATGCTGTGCAGATGCAGAGCAGCCTCTGAAAGATGCAAACAAAGGCTCTAAGGTCGTTATAGGAGGACCAGAGGTGTACCGCATCAAGGAGGCCTCAGGAAGATATGTTGTTTTCAAGCAGAAAGAGGTGTTCAACAATTTAAAGTAATACAGAGAACTCCAGAGGGTTAAGGCCTGGAAATAGGCCAGAAGGCTTGATACTTATAAGTCATTTGTGCCCGATGGTCAAGTTAAAAAAAAAAAAAGGGTGACGGACAACATATTACAATTGTGGCAAGGAATTTCTTAAAGAGTCCTGATGGTATAGGTAAATTCTCAACTTATAACCGAGTGGCCCGCCTGTCTGTAAGAGAAGGATGTGCCCAGTTGCTTCCATTAAGGTTACAGCCTAGAACACCTCTGCGGCAGTTCTCCTCTGTCCTGCAGGGTGCCTGAGATGGAGCTGACTCAGTACCCAGGGGTTTGCTTGTGGCCTAAAGAATTTCTCTTCTGAGGGCTTTGATCATTAAAGGAAATAATGAAGTGGAACCATCACTTGAAGGAAATTTTGGGTTATTATTATTACATTTTTGAAAAACTAGTCCAAAGCTTGGGATAAGCACACATGTAATTAAAGGAGAAAGGAAACCATGAAGTGGAAATCTGGAGGCTACCAGACAAAGGAGAGAGCTCGATGCATAGGGCAGAACGCTAGAGGAGAAGCGAAGAGTGGCCTTTGTGATAGAGACTAACGGGCTGTAATGAAGGGGCAGGATCCTTTTCAGACCCGAAGACAGACATTTTAGGGTGTCACATCAGAGGCCGTAATCTTCTTGTGGAAGAGGGCGGCCCCGGGAGAAAGACGAGTCTGAGCTAAGAGGCCTGCGGGGTGACCTCTGGATTTTATCCAGCAGCTTTTGTCTTTGGCCCACCACAGGTGAGTTCTGATAAAATGATTTGAGCTCTTTTAGACTCTAAAGCTTTCTTTCATTTTTTTAATTTAAAAATATATATGTATTAATTTTTAACACTATTATTGGCACTGCATCCACATAACACTAAAGCTTTCCGAAATGTCTTCTTGTAGCTCTGTTCTTCTCTTTTTGTCAAAATCTCTTCGATGTTATATTCTAGTGTCATAAGCCAGGTAATAGACACCATGATAAAGAAATGAAGAATGAAAAACCAAAGAAAAAGGATAAGATGGGTGAAAACCAAACCTACTGTATATAATCAAGTATAAGCCGACCCGAATATCAGCCGAGGGACCTCATTTTACCACAAAAACTGCATTAAAAATGCGCTGAAAAACTCGGCTTATACTCGAGCATATGCGGTAGGTCTTTTCCATTCATGCTTGCGTAATTCTCTTGCCCTCACCAGGAGGGACTCTACAGTTTAAGAACACTCTCGGTTATCTCTGCGGTTGACAAACCTGCTTTGTTTTTCAGTGCTGCAGCCTTTGTTATCGGAGCGATGTCTTCAAAGCCAGAAGATGATAAAGAGAGGCTGTTTCAAGCTGCCAAGACGATCTTCTTTCACATACAAGATCTTTCTTCCTTCACGAACACGCTGATTGAACTATTCAACCACAATATGAATACCCAGATCCTCTGGACGGCTGTGAAGGAAGATAGTAATATTAGGGATTTCTTTGAGCAAATGCTCAAAGTTGTTGCAGAGATACAATCAGTAGTAGATGCAGCGAACAAAACCGTTGAAAACGAGCCTTTGTATCCTAAGATCGCAATGGCTTTGTCCTCTATGATTGAGCAGAGAACTAATGTGAGGGAATTGTACCTGTCAGCCAGAAAAATGTTCAGAAATGCCCACATACCGCTTATCATCTCTGTTCTGAATCATGGCAATGTCCTTGGGATTTTGACATCTTGTATAACAGCGTTGATGAAATTTCCCATCATGAATCTTCAGCTAAGTGACTTCTACAGGAAAGACACCGGAGAGCAATCAGAAGCCACCACATCTGAGAAAAACACGAGTTCAGATCCCCCTGAAGCCAACATGACGGACAAACTGAAAAAGTTACAAGATGCATTTCGAGGTGAGAATACCACGAACCCCACAGCGTTTGCTGTGGAGCAGTTGGAACAAATCATCGGGAACCTGGGGCTAGCCTCGGAGGTTCTCCAAAAAGCCACAAAAACAATGCAGACCAATATTTCCCTGTTCAAGAAAGTTCCTGAGAAGTAGAGGCACCTCACAAATAGCCATTTATGTCAGAAAATCTAGTCAAATGCTATGAGTTTTCATAGTACGCTCTAATGTCCCTTGATAACAAACCTGTGGGTCTGCTGCAATGAAAGCACAGAATGCAGTCACCTGGCCAACTATTTGCCTCTAGTCGTGCTTTATTTAAATAAACAAAATATTCAAAGAAAGTTTGCTTGAAATTAATTATACAAGAAACTTTATTACGCAAAAGATCAAGATAATAGTGCACTTGAGAAT